CCCCTGGTTCCAGCAGCCTGGACGGGCGACGCCGGGTGACCGAAGCGCGAGAGTTAAGCGGGTGGGAAGGTGTGAGCCGCAAAGCCAGAGGAGAGCGGGAAGGAGGAAGAGGAGGCGCCGGGGTGGTCAGGGAGCCTGGGGGTTCTGCCAGCAGAGGTTCCTCGGCCACCGGACTGACTGACGGGCTGACTGCCTGCGGCGGCCTCCGGTCCGGACGCTTGGAACGGTGCGGCGCGGTGAGCGGAGCCATGGCCTCCGGTGAGTGTTCCCGGCGCGGGCTACCGAGGGCCGGGGCGCGGGCCGGGCCCCGTGCGGGGAGGCAAGGCGCTCGTCCTGGGGTCTTGCTGCTCAGGGTTTCGGGGGCTCAATTTTGGTTGTTGCGCATTCTGTCCTTAAAATTGCGTCTGGCAAATTGTCAGCCTTATTAAAAAGTGACCTGGTTCAGGGTTTGCGTGCGAAATCAAAGTCACGCTCTGTAATTTGATGCTATTATAATAGCCGGAACCTTAGAACTTCCCGACGACTTGGTTTTAGGATTAGAGAAGTAGTAAGAATAAAAATAAAAGCAGACGAAGCGTTCCCGTGTTGAAAATTGACTTATATTGAAATGGTGGCTTTACGTTTTAGAACAGGAATGAGGAACCTTCCGACCTCAGGAGAGGTCTGTCTTTCTTAATTTCATCAGTTGCCAAGAGGCGATCGCTGGTCTGCTGACAGTTGCACAAAAGGCGGTGCGGCTTTGAAAATCACCAGTGCTGTTTTAACAGATCATAAGTGGAAACGTTGCTTCCACAAAGCGGATAATTTTTACTGTAAAGTGCGAACTTTCTAGTTTATGGAACAGAAGTCGAGTTTTGTTTTCCTTTGTTGGATGGAAGGGGGAAGGAAGATTTTTAGAATCCCCGTACTTTAAAATACGGGTAGGAATGAAAACAACTTTATATCACTTAGGTGAATATTTATTTTTAGTCAATAAATGCCTGATTGTCTTACTTTGGGGGAGACCAGTTTCCCAAGAAAATGCTTTAAAGGGTAAGGGAGGGATCTCCTAACCAGCCACAGGTTGGGTCAGCAGGTAGCCTAAGGGAAGTAAATCGAGTAGACTGCTTGCGAGTGGGACCTCTTCTGGTCTGGCAAGGCTCCTTGGGGCGCTTTCCCGGCAGAGGGAGCTGCGTGAGCAAAGGTAGGGAGACCTAAAAATGTGCATTAACTCTGAGCTAGGAGGTTGAAGATGGAGGCTTGTTTATGCTTGACCGGCATCCTCCCTACTCGCGGGTACAGTGACCCTCGGTAGACGGCTGATGACTAGCAGAGAAGAGGAAGTAGAGAGCGTAAAGGACTTTTTTTTTTTAAAGGGTTGAGCAGAACAAAGCTGTAGCTACTGCTGTAGGCTGAAAAGGAAATTGGGGTGGTTCACATGACATTTGATTTCAGTTTGTCTGTGGTTTTCATGTGAGAATACAAGTGTAGTTTAAAATATTTCAACTTTCTCTTTACCCACTTCAGTGACCCCATACTTTCAGATAATCTTGTAAATTCGTAAATTCAAAGCATGTTTAGATTAAAAGTGCTAAGATGACTTGAAGTATTTGGTTAATTTATTGGTTACCAGAAAGACTTTGTATGAAAGTTAAAGAATGGCCAGTATTTTAAGTAAAAAAAATCTCAGCCTGCTGGCAATTTAACCAGACTTTGATACGACATGAATGTAACACGTCTCATTCTCTCAAAAGAGAAAGAAAAGAGTTAGCCATTTGCACAGAGAGTATTGTCAAGACCCACATCATTTTAAAATGTGATAAATTTACATTTGTTTAATGACCCTATGTTTTATGCTTCTGTGAAAATTGATTCCCTAAATTGAAGGGGAAAAAATTTTAAGAGTGGCAAGTTATAGGGTAATTTTTTTTTGGCCTTTTTTGGAGTTACATTAAAATGGTACTGTTTAAAATAAAACACATTGTTTAAATTGTAATTTGGTTGTGTGAAAACAGCTAAGTAAAAATTTTTAAAAGGAAGCTTAGTGTACTTTAATCACTTGTTAAGACCTTAGAGAAAAAGATTCACTAAATTATGAACTCTCATCCTGTTTGAAACAGTAATTTAACTAAAAGAGTAACAAAAAACAAACTTTTGCTTAATTTATCATTGTTTAGTTTACAGTCTGCAGTATTTTTGACTACGAAGCATTTAAGACTGTTTCTTCATTTCTCACCCGATGTCATATATAAATAGATGTGTGTAGTTGAATATGTGATCTGTGTAACACAAAAGTAACAGATCATAATCTCATAAATAAAATTATATAAGTGCCATTAATAATTGGGGCTTTAATGTGTGTATGATTCTAAGTTTTGTTCAGTTAAACTTTCAGATTATTTAGATTTCACAGTTCAGGTTCTATTAAGCTGTTTTTATTGTTTTAAAAAAAATTATACCTTGATTCTAGTCTTTTGACACAATTAAAATAGCCATTAAGAAAAATGTTCCCAGTCCCATTCAAGGTATGTATAGTTAGGCAATCGTTGCTCTTATATATTTATTCTATTCTGCTTGATATAACTAAAATTGGCTTATTTTTGTCTGAATTTAAGCTTCTCATTGTTCCAATAGAAAGTACGAATGTTCTTGTGTGCATATAGCTCTGTTTACTAATAAATAGTACTGTCTTTGGTAAAATATGTTTTAAAATTTAGATAATTTAATTTTAGTCACAGTTTTTAAAAAATTATTTTTTATTGAAGTATAGCTGATTTACAATATTGTGCTAGTTTCATGTGCACAGCAAAGTGATTCTTTTGTTTAATTCTTGTTTTGTATTGAAGTGTAGTCAATTTACAATGAATGATTTGTGTTTTTTTGCAGATTATATCCCATTATAGCTTGTTGCAAGATATTGCGTATAATTCCCTGTGCTATACAGTAAATCTGTGTTCCTTATCTATTTTACATATAGTATGTTTAGTTTTCTTTAGTAAAGTTCTGCTACGTCACGTAATAGGAAGTACATGAAGAAATTGTTTTTGTAAATGCACTACTCATCAACTCTGTAGTGTAAATTTCAAAAGAACTATTTCTCTGGAATAAGGGGGAAAATCAGTATAAGTACGATACAACTTCATCTTTAATGATAGAGCTGGAAGCTGGAATTGATAGCTAAAGCAATGAATTATTTTTTTAAATAAAAGACTAAACACATAAACATGAAGGCTGTTTCAGAAGTGCAACACATGAAAATGTAGAGATGACAGTGGTATGAAAGAATTAAGGTGATACAGAGTGAAGGGAATGAGTGAGTGAATTGCCTGGGGAGGAATCAGATGATGAATCAGAATTAGGAACATCTGAGGTGTGTGTGGTATCGTTCTCAAATACAATTTAAGGGACTGAGAATTTTCTTTTGTTCCATCTTTCATCAGTGTTCTGTGCAAATGATTGTGTTTGTAGGCACATGACTCAAATAATTGCGTTTGATATACTAAAAAATTAATTTAATTCATATTTAAATGAGCATCGGTGATTTTTAGTTTTAAATCTGGTGGCCTTAAGACAGATGATTTGGCCCTGCCATCTATTTTTAATTTGGTTTCTCTACTTTTTTCACCCTGAATGTAAACATTTTTTTTTTGAGGCTTATTCCTCCACCACACCCTCCCAACCACAGTGGAATCTCTAGCAGTAAAATTTCTATTGCCAGAATTTTATTACATTTTTTATTTACTTTGTGGTGCATACATCAGTCAAATACTCATCTGTAAATTCTCTTACTTGGATTCTTAAGACCCAGTTGAGAGAATCAGCCTGATATATTCGAATAAACCTGGACCTTAGCCCATGATGGACCTGGGTTGGTTTTTATTTCAGTTCTGCCACTCTGTGATACAAAAATGGAAATAACCACTGCAGAGTCTTGTTAGGAGCAAATGAGATAATGCATGCCCATAAATGTTAGTTTTCTTCTGTACTGAGACAGTTTTGGGACTCAGGCCTCTAGAAAACAGGAGCTACTAGAAACACTTGGCACCTGAGCATTGTTTAAGTATCCTGATGATTCTGGAATTTTATGGAACCTTAACATCTATAAAAATTAGAATAGATGCTAGGTAGAAAATATATCAGGAATATCTAAGAATGCCCATTTACTTTTAAACAATTTGGAATTATTTTGTGTATATTTAAACTAGGGGAGTAGAATCTGAGTGATGTTTGGAGGCGGTCTTCTTTGTCCACTTAAATAATAGTAAGCATTCTGGAAAAAAAAAGTAAATAAAAAATTGCTTCATGGATAAACCATGTGTCCTTTGCTAACTTTACTGATGTAACTTATCCTTCGTTTGATTTCTTTTGAACCTTCTGTGGTAGTCTTTTTCTGTCCTTATGGGAATAGGCTTAAGTTTTCTTGCCCCTTTTTTAATTGGATGCAATTCTATCTATGTAGGAAATGGTAACTCTAAATTTTGATCATAATTAGGAAGAAATGGAAAAACTCACCTGTATCTTAAGTTAAAGAAGATCATCACCATAATTCAGTGGGGTTCCTAGACTTGAGGAGAGAAGAAAGATACTTTCTTTTCCTCCAAAGTGAGTAGAAGTGATATTTGGAAAAGTATATGCTAGCTCCATTTGCTCCTTTAGGTCCCAGGCACTCTGTTATCCAGAACTTCAGTGAGGGAGATGAAGTCTCCAGTCAGTTATTCAGAACTGAGGTGTTGACACGTTGGCTTACTGTGTTGTACGAAGTATTACTGATGATAGTTAAAATGTTAACTCTGTAAAAGATTTGTTTTAAATAAACCAGTGCAGTTGAAGGTTATCTTTATAATAATGAGTTTTTCTCTTGCTTGCGTTTGGATAAGTTTTTTAGAGTGGGAGTTACAAGTAGTCAGAATTCCTCTACCTAGTTTATCCATCACCCTGGCCCATCCTTTACATGAATTTTTGGATTGCTTCTCTAAATATGTGCATTGTTGTTTCCACTATGTTATGTTTTAGAGCAATGGTTCTTAACCAGGAGTGTGTTAGAATTTCTTGGAAGTCTTTTTTCAGAAACATGTCTGGGCTTTAGATGGATTTCTGTTTGTTTTCAGCAAATCTCGGGTGGGGTCAGGACATGTATGTTTTTTGAAAGAGCTACCTAGGTGATTCTGATATATACCCCCAGTATGAACTCTGTTCCAGGAATTTCATTGGCTCTACATACTCACTTGCCTCTACCAAGATGCATTATCTTCTTAAACTAAGTTGCACTTATTTTAACTTATTTGCTGTATCAGTTATTGTGACTTTATCCCCAGCAGCTTTAATGCTTGTTGTTCTTCGAATTTGACCCCTGGAATCCAACCTGTCATATTTGATAATGTTTTTCATAATTTCTTTTTCTTATAACTTCATGTAATTTTGAAGTTTTATTAATGTTAAATGGGATAATTCTGTCCTGTTTTTATGAAGTTTAAAGTTAAGAGGATCAAATGAGAAGTGTATATAAAAGTGCTTTAAAACAACATTGTAATTACTATAAATAACATTTTTTCTAATTGTGATTCCCAGTGCTAGCTATGTTTTAGTTAATAATATGCCTATTTCTGACAACTGATAATCGATTTCTTAACTTTCATTTCAATGTACTTTTTTAAATCTTAAAAACTCGGATAACACTCTTTTTTGCCTCAGTGCAAATGAAAACAAATAGATCTTGCAGACATTTTGGCTGTATTTCTAATGTTACTCTGGTCTATATTAGCATTTTACAATACTGTTAAAAATATAGGAATACTGTTAAAAATATTGCATAATGTTGGTTTAAGAAAAGTACAGTAATCAACTTCTTTAAAACCAATTTTGAAGATATTTCTATGATTTTCCAAACTGTAGTGATTTGAGATAATCTAAGTTAACAATACTCATTTTCCCTACAATTCCCTGATTTACATTTTATCATCTTCCACTCCATAGATGACTGTAATTCACCACTTTTTATCTTCAGAAAGAATGGTGCTTCAAAACAGGGTACTGAGGAAGGAAGTAACTGGTACATTGTTCTGATGCATGATATAAATGATTTACAGCTGGGAAATTCTTTAAAATCATAAATATGGGTAAAGAAATTAGAATATGAATGGGTATGAAGAGTACAGAGGTGTAGTGAATTTAGTATGGTGGTTTAAAAGAGGGGAAGATTATTTCCAGCTGGGAGAATGGAGGCTCTTAAAATAGACTCTTGTTACTTGGTTGACTTTTTACCAATAAAGAGCTTTTACAGTAGGAAGAATAGAGTTCATGAGTTTTTAAGCACTTGATGTTATATAACTAATATTTATCATTTTTCAAATTTAAAAATCTTTTTCAAAAAGTTTTGTTTAATCTTTCAGTAACTACTTTTCTATTTTCTTATCTAGAGACTTTTTTCATAAACACACTTTCTAGTGTAAGGAAGTGTTGTGTAACCAATGAAATATTTGAATGCTCACTATGAGTCCAGCAATTTTATTCACACTCCTCCCCCCAGAGTTAGCCACTTACCATTAATGATGTCATTCTATATCAACTTCCCATAAAGACATTAAATAAGCAGTGAGCAGGGATTTATTTGACCTTTAATTCAACCACGTTAACCTATTTAATACATCACTTAAAAATTACTGTTGAGTATTTTGAACTTCGTATTGAGAGGAAAATGTACTTTCTTTTAAATACTCCTACAAGGATATTTAAGGATGTGAAATATTTGAAACTGAAATGTGAATTTGGTTATTTGAAATATACAAGGGTATATAAGGGTGTGAAATTGAAATACTCATCTGCATGCCTTACGTTTTTCAGTAAAATTGAAATAAATATTATGAACTTGATTAGGTCAATGTCAGTATTCCTTGGCTCTTTGTCTTTTGAATAAACAAATAGGTAGTAAATTCAAAAACAAGGAGTCTGACCCAAACAGAATAAAATTAAAGATACCAATAATACTCTACTTAATAACCCAAAGTAGAAAGCATGGAACCATCAATGGTTCTCTACTTTCTCTTAACTCTAATGTTCACTTCGTCACCAAGTACTATCAATTTTATGTTTTAAATAATCCTTCATTCCTATTATCACTACCTAATTTCAGACCTACCCTCATCATTGCCCCCATTACCGTAACAGCTTCTTAACTGATCACTTTATTTTCTCCTTTCTTTTTAATCTGTCCACTGCCACCAGAACGCTTACTCTAAACTGTCAATCTGATCATGTAATTCCTCTGCATAAAACCATTCTTTGATTCTGTCACTCATAGAATGAAATCAAGATCCCCAAATGTACTGACTTTCAGTTCTCTTTCTAAGGATGGAAATATACTCCACTTCCACTGGAGCTGTAGTGTGATTCTTCAGCTCTTTTCCTCTGTGCCACCACACAGTCTTCCCTTTCTTTAGAATGCCTGCCTTTCTCCCTTCCCCTTCCTATCTCCCTACCTTTTTGCTTCATTAACTCTCTTCCTTTGACGTAATTAGACATTTCTGACTCTTTTGCTCTTACTGTCATTTTATGCAGAATTATGTTAGCATAAACAAAATTTTGTTTTTGTTCATTCCCTCTATAACAATTTCTGTTGTTTGCCCCACTGTTCTGTGAGATCCTTGAAAGTAGCAGTTGTTACACCATTTATGGTGATAATTATAAATCACTGATTTCAAGAAAGCATCTGAAATAATAATAGACACCATTTACTGAATATTTGTTATATGCCTGACACTTGATAAGAACCTAACATACGTTATCTCTAGTCCTCACAATAACCCTATGAGGTAGGTGCTATTGTTATTATCCCCATTTTATACAGTAAGGGACTTAAGAGATACAGTAACATTTCCAGGGTTTTCACTGTCAAGATTGGCTGGGTAGGACTCAAAAAGGCCTCTTCCCCATATTTCACTGATAAGACCCGCTTGTGTTAGCCTTTCTGAAGATTTGCTTGCATTCTAACAGAGGATAAGCCTTTAGTCAAAGAAATGGATATCTAAATGAGGGAATTTAGAAATCACTAAACTGAGGAAGGTATTTTTGTTTTTATATTTTAGTGGAAGATATTTTCATACCTCTGAAATAGACACTTTACTAAGTACCTTACTTATAAGCACACTTGAGTGTCTTTATTGAATTGTCATTTCCATGATTTGGATAATAAAAGGGGGTAAAGATACATACATTTTAGCTTTATTGACATATAATTAATCTACAATAAATTGCACATGTTTAAAGTGTGCAATTTTACAACTTTAGACATATGTATACAATTTTGGGCTCATCAACACATTCAAGGTAATTAACATGTCCTTCATCCCTCAAAGTTCCCCACCCACTCCACACCCCTATTCTTAGGCAGCCAGTGATCTGCTTTCTTTCATGATAGATTAGTTTACATATTCTAGAATTTTATATAAATGGAATCATACAGTATGTGCTCTTTTGGTCTGGCTTCTTTTACTCAGCATTATTACTTTGGTATTTATTTATATTGTGTGTATCAGTAGTTCCTTCTAAAGGTGCATGTTTTGAATTATATTTGTTATAAGTAAATAATTTTTTCTTTTCCTCCATTTTGTCATATACTTTCAAAGAGGTTTAGATGGAACTTACTGGCTTCTTTTGAGCCTGTAGTCCCTTCTGGAACTTGTTTTGGTGTATTATGTATAAGTCTAAGATACCAATGGAAATATAAAAAACTTAACATTTTCTTCTGCAAGGATTTAAATACATTTTCATTTTCAACAAATAGTCTTGTAGTCCATTGCTAAGAATCTAATGTAAAATCAAGGAAAGTCACTTTTGGAGTATAGTATTGTATTTCTGAAGACTATCTTCTTGACCCTTTTGGGGGAATCTTGGGGAAAACCCTTCTGCTTGGTCTCATGTCAAAAGTGTGTATCTCTGAAGTGGTTATTGCAGAACTTTACACTGATGTTAGTTATAGATATTAAATGATAAAATACTAAACAGTAAATATGATTTGAATGATTTGTGTTTACATTGTATGGGAGCTCAATTTGAATGGGAGAGAGAAGTGTCTTTACACCCAGTCTTGAATCATTACATTGCAACTTTGTTACTTAATATTAAAGGGAAAATTTTTTAGCCTACTGTTTTGGGGAAAAAAAGTTAAAATTCATTATTATTTCTATCTTAATCTCACCTTCCCCCCCTTTTAAAATTTTCAGGTGGATATAACCCATATATTGAGATAATTGAACAACCCAGGCAGAGAGGAATGCGTTTTCGATACAAATGTGAAGGACGATCAGCAGGCAGCATTCCAGGGGAGCACAGCACAGACAATAACCGAACATACCCATCCATCCAGGTAATAGACCATTCTCCTGTGTGTTATCTCTTAGTTGCTTCTTAGTATAGCTCCAGCAGTTACCTTAAAGATGCAGCTTCTTCATAGTCATCTCCACTGGCTTCTCCCCTCCTTGTTTTTTTCTTTTTAATTGATCTGTATTGGATAGATCTCTAGGGACGTTTCTTAAAAATAGTATGGGCTCTTCATCCCTGCAGATAGTTATACATTGTTTCTATATTCATCTAACTAGAGTGATTCTTTAGTGCTTAGTTAGTGTACATTGACAGCTTTTGGAAAATGGTGTCTTTCATGGAACCAAAAGCTAATGAGGAAAAAGCATTCTCTCCTTCCAGGGATGAGCAAAATTGTTCTGTAGATGAAAAACATACATTTGGGAACTCAATTAGAGTTCTCCTACAATCAGTTGGCTAATCTGCTATGGAAAAAGGGAGTATTTTTGTCTTTTTTTTTCCTCTTACCTTTATTGCCTATCCCTGATACCCTGGGTTGCATTGACTGATTTGAAATATTGTCACTTTTTTAAATACAGTTTTTTCATATTAGCATAAATTTTGAAAGTAGTTTTTGATCCAAAATGACTTTTGTAGTATGCTTTATTTATAACATATACTATATTTATATACTATATTTCATCCGATTTTTAATGAATTTTTTTATTCTTTAAATGCCAATTTAAAACCTTAATGGCAGAATGGATTTTGAAAAGTGTTATTTATTCTTTCATCAACAGATCTTAATTTATCATTTTGTTACTGGATTATTTACAAAGTTTATTCTGTTCAACTTAAAGGAAATGCTAAGTTATAGAAAAAGCCAGTGGCAAAATTACATATTGAATTCATGACTTTTATTACATGTTTTGGCAGCAATATGGATTTGAGTTATACAAGTCTTTTTATTTAAATGTTAAAATGGGAGAGATGCTAATAAAAAGGAGCGATTTTTAACTCTTCTCCATAATTCAGCATATTTTATGCATTTTCTTTAATATTTTTAAGATCTGTATCCCTACCATTCCAATAGGTTCTAACCAACTTTACAGCTTGAGTTTTCCATCAACCTACCTTATACTTTTAAGTTGTTACCTTCTCTCTTACTCAGAAAGGCTATGAGTACTTTCTGGTTACTGTTCAAATTAAGTTTAAAATCAAAATTATGGATTTTAATGCCCTTTTATCTGCAAAGCCACCCATTCCTGCTTAGTTACCTCGCTCCCTTGTATGCTGGTTTTTACATTCCCTGCTTTGTGCTTGCAAACTTGCTAGCTTCCAAACTAAACATTGGCTTCTCCCCACGTGCTCAGGATGTCCTTCCTCCTCTCCTGTATTTAACCCTTTTCTTCATTCTCTGTGTTCTAGATGTACTTACTGTGTGAAAACTTAATTTTGCAAACCTTAACTGGACTTACTGCCTGTTGTACAGTGAACACTTGAGATATGCTTATTGATTAACAAATATTTTTGTGAAATGAAATGTCACATATTAAGTAAAATGATCATATTGATGTGGTATCATTTCCAAAGTGGCTTAAATATATACTTTCAAGGGATGTTTATGGTATAGCTATGAATATAAGAGCATGGCATTCTGTGATTCAACATCTTAATATTTCCTCATGCTCTGTGATAATATTTTGGTATAATTTTTCTTGTTTTAAAATAAGCAGAACCAGATGATATGACTGATTGAAATTAGGACAGAAGATAATATGCCAAGGAACTGAGGGGTAAATTCTTCTCTGCAGGTATTCTCTGAAAAGTTTCATCCAAACTGCAGTTGCCAGTCAATTGGACTTTATCCAGCGCTAACTATATTATATAAATTGAACTCTCATTTAGTAGATCAGTTCTTAATGTGATATATCTGTGGATCATATATTTGATTTACCCCCTTTTCAGATTATGAACTACTATGGAAAAGGAAAAGTGAGAATTACATTAGTAACAAAGAACGACCCATATAAACCTCATCCTCATGATTTAGTAGGAAAAGACTGCAGAGATGGCTACTATGAAGCAGAATTTGGACAAGAACGCAGACCTTTGTTGTAAGTACACAGTCACAGACATTTTCAGGAATAGGATAAGCATAAGATGCTCTTGTTTTCTATCCATGTACATCTGTTATTTTTTAACAGAATAAATGAATTCCTCATCGTACTTCTATTTAGTAAACATTTAAATTTTCTTACTATTTGCATTAGAACTACGCTTTCATTCTTTATTAGTAGATGCAGCCCCTGACTGTAGCAGGAATACTTCTTTATTGTTACTGAAAGTAAACATAAACTTATTTTATACTGTGATTTTCGTTCTTTGAGCAATTTATGAAAGGTTTTCTTTCATGAATTTTTACTCTATCTTTTTGTTAACGGTTAACTTAAAAATTACCAGATGTGAGAAGATCAACTGGAAAACTGGAATTATTATTTGAAAAGGGCAGTTATAAACAACAATTCTTAACAACAGTTAAGATTTAAAAAAAAAGTAACACTTTATGTTGATGAGGCTGCTGAGTGGGTCTGTTCATCACATTGGTGAGAGTATAAATTTTTCTGGTAGGCCCTTTAACAGCTACCTAGCAGAAGCCTGAAAAATATGACTATCTCTTGAACTAGCAATTCTACTTCTCGGAATTTATCCTGAGGAAATAATTTCTAATTAAGCATGTTCAGACACTTAGCTATAATGGTGTTCATGGAAACTCTGTTTGTAATGGAAAAAGTTAGAAGCAATCCAAATAATAAACAAAAGGGGATTAATTAAATAAACTGTTACATCCATTCAGTGTACTTCTGTGTAGCCTTGAATATAACATTGTAAATGTGTCTTTGTATTAAAAGATATTCCCAACGTTTAGGTAAATAAAGTAGGCTTTAAAACAATGTGTGATAACTAGTTTTTTAAAAAAATAAATATGTACATGTATATGGTAATATGAACATTAAGGTGTTGATAGTAGTTGTCTCTGGGTGGGAAGGATTGTGAGGTTTTATATTCTTTTAACTTGTATTTATTTTATAGTTCATTTTTTGTGGTGAACATGTATTGCTTTTGAGGCAAAATGAAACTAAATGCAACAAGAAAAAATTAGTAGCCTCCTTAAATACTAGTAGTAACCACTTAAAAAATGCACTTTTGAAATATTCCTCTTTCAATAATAACACAAAACATGAAATATCTAGTTATACAAACTGGCAAGAAATACTTCCTGTTTATATTATTTGACCTTCCAACAGCATTTTATGTTGTAGACCACTCCTTTCTTAAAATACTCTTATTCCTTGATTTCTGATTTTGTGAGAACAAACTCTCCTATTTTCCTTCTTTAACTTTTCTGGCTATTCCTTCTCGATCTTGGTTACGGGCAGTTTAATTTTTGGACTGCCTTACTCATGTCCAGTAATGCCCATTGTGGCTGTCCTCTCTCCCTTCAATTCAGGATTCTGTTAAGGAGCACATACTACTTTTAGGTGTCATGCTTATTTAGTCTTCTTCAATTTAGAACAGTTTCCTGGCCTTTTTTGGTCTTTCATGATGTTCACATTTTTGAAGAGTTAAGGTTATTTGTTTTGAAGATTGTTGTTCAGTGTGGGCTAGTCTCAAAGGTTGCTTGTGATCATATCCATGTTACTATGAATAGCATGGGTTGTATTTTCACCTTAACATGAAAGAAGACAAGGAATCTGCAGAGGTAATGCTGTATTGTTCTCAAAATAATCGCTTCAGGAGATGTGATACTAGTTTTTCCCATTGTTGATATTCTTTGTGAAGAAAAACTGCCATCTTTTCCCTACCCAACTTGAAAAATTACCACTATATAGACCAGTGGATTCTTATATTCATTTTGTTATAACTGAATGCTAGTCCACTACTAGCAATCTTACTTTAATTTTCAAATTGACCCAAATTTGACCAGTATAAGCCCCCTCAGACTGTTTCCTTTGTCCTGATGTGTCCTCATCTTTCTTTGAGCACCTCTTTACTTTCTGACACAGCAAAGTGTTCAAGACTTACTTGTACTTTTCTTGCCCCAGCCTTGAAATCATCAGTTTTTTCTAAGGATCCCTAGTACCTTTCAGTGGGGAATGGTAATAAGTCTGATGGCCTCTTTGACATAGTCCCTTAAATATTTCAAAAGCACCTTAAATAGAATATGCCCCAAACCATGATATTACCCTGATCATATCTCTTTCTTCTCAAAACTGGTCCTTCAATGTACCTTATCTTAGTGGTTGCTGTAAAAGTGCCAAAGGTGTCATCCTTGACACCCCCACACACACAAGTGTACACATTAAAGTCACTGATAGGCACCTCCTAAATAGGTCTTGAGTCTTTCCACTTCTCTCAGTGACCTCTATCACCGACACACTAATTGATCAACTGTCTCCCACCATAGGCTCCTGTGACATCATGTATATCTCCTTTATAAAACATATCATGGTTTCAGTTTAGCATTTTTGTGTGTGATTACTTAGTATCTCTCTGTTTCACTAGACTAGAGATCAGCAAACTTTTTCTATGAAGGTCTAGATAGTAAGTATTTTAGGCTTTGCAGGCCCAGTGGTCTCTGGTGCCTCAGCTCTGCTATTGTAACACGACAGCACCCAGAGGAAATATGCAAACAGATCAGTTTGTGTTCCAGTAAAACTTTATTTACAAAAACCAGTGGTAGGCCAGATCTAATCCATGGACTATATTCTGCCAACCCCTACATTAGACTTCATGAGAGGAGGGATTGTGTATTCCTAGTACTTTCCAGAGTTTTTGGTACATAGTAAGAACCCCAAATAATCTCGATATGATCCATGGTTTCCTCATGTCAGAATTTCAGAAATCCCTGCTATTTCTAATATTGTGTGACTAGCAGTCAAATATGGTTTTTCAGATGAAACAAAATCATGTAGAATATAAATATATTAAAATGAAGAATTCTTTAAAATCTTTTGTCAAGGAAAAAGTAAGAACCAAGCTAAGAATCTTTCAGAGAAGTGGAATACTTTTGAGGAGGGTTGTAGTTTCAGGATTTCAAGAAAAAATTATGAGTTCAAGGTTTGTTTTTTAATTACTGGAGGCAGAGGAAGGAAATATTAAAGGTAATTTACGTGCTAACAAAATCACAAGCGTGGTGAAGGTGAAGAGCATAACATGAAGGTAAACAGGGCAAGCAGCCTCCTGTTGAGAAGGTCCATATGAAGTTTGCAGTGAGAGTAATGTTATTATAACCAAGTTTTGCTTCCTTATTCACACCCACCCAACTTTAATGATGTCATGGTTTTTCCATGTGGGAACAAGTATGCTGGTGGTGGTAGGGGAGTTCCCCCCACCATCATCTGTACTACACATATGCAAATTTGTAATATTTGTAGCTGTTGAGAAATTTTCCATAAATGACATTTTGAAACTTGTGTTAAATATTATTGTTACCATTAAACATCTTTCTAATGAAAATATATATATATATATATATTTCAATGCTTTCTGGTGATGAATAATTACTATTACTTCATATGATATGGCATAAAACATATTCCACTGCTACTAACAGTGAAGTCATTTGAAGTAAAAAAAAAAAAAATCAGATGTCCATGGAGTGGAGAGGTTCAGATGTCGAGGGCTAGCAGGCACTGTAGCAAACTGGAGAGCCCTGCATAAATGGGGCCACAGGTGCTCAGCTCTGGTCAGGTGTTTCTGTGTCAGTCTACTGTTGTTAGACCTTAAAATGTTCTAGAGAAGCCAGAAATCTAGATGTTTATATGTGGTTATCTGATTTTTAAATGTTGGTTGTCTGTGCACATTTTTTTAAAATGTTAACACTTTTATGAGCTCAGCAAAACCATACCTGTAGGTGTTAGCCTGTGGGCATCTTTTCCAACTTTTGCTTTACATTATCAAATATACAGATTTTACTGATTTGAGGTGAATTTTAGCTTTTTTGTGTCAGTTTCCTATTAATCTTTGTCTACTTCAGTATATTTGACATAGACATATTAGTAAGATGTAATTGTAAAAGACTGTATGTAAAAGTGGTATATACTACTTTTAACAGTTCTCTTAAAAAATATAACCCCACTTTTTTATCCTCACATTTTTATAATATGATGTAATTGATGACTCTTCAGTGTTGGATATTTGCTTGATTTTTATAATATTCTTCAGTAAAATCTCATTTATATATGCTTGTGTTTAACCATAACATAGTTTGAAAGTTCTGTGTTTTCCTTCTAGTTTTCAAAATTTGGGTATTCGCTGTGTAAAAAAAAAGGAAGTCAAAGAAGCTATTATTTCAAGAATAAGAGCAGGAATCAATCCTTTCAGTGGTAAGTATATTTGATATAATTGTTTCTATTATTTGGATATTGTCTTACTTGTGATTTCTATTTGTATCTTGAACCTATGTTTTAAAAGTTGTCTTAAGTTCTGTGTTCACTTATATACTTGTTGTCTTCTACCTGTATCTGAGGAATCAGTATATTTAAAATCTTTTAGTGTTGAAAATCAATTCTTACAGAGACAAGGCTTTCTACTATCAGTAAAGAGTGTCATTGTTTTCTGTAAGAAAACCTCAAAAATATTCAGATTCTCTTTGAACGTGGCCTTCCTTTTGCCGCTCCAGCAGACGATACACACGTACCCCTTACCGAATGTTGAATAGGCACTGTGGATATAAGGTATTGGGGTGTGTTTAACTCAAGGGTATATTCAACGGTGAAACTTAAATTAATCCCAGTGTGGAAGTAGTATAGAAATAGTAGAAGCTATATAAAATATTTGCATAGTGCGTTTGTGTTATGGCTAGATATTTACTGTCCAGTGGGTTTTGTTGGGGATGAAACCACCTGGTGTTAGCACCTGGAAGTTGTGCCACAGTTGCTACAGAATAGGCAAGGGGCCATATTGTTTGAATAGAAAAATGACTACCAGGCTGAATGCTGGCATCCTACACTATGGTAGTCTCTTTTGTAAAGTCATCTGCAACTACTTAAATATGCATACTTTGGGTATTGAACAGAGTATTCTGTGGTTTGGATAGATTGTAATCTATCTAGTCATCTATTAATAAACATTTAAGTTATTCTTGTTTTACTAAAAAAGCTTTATTTTTTATTATTATTTTTATACTGTGAGCTCTTGTGTGATTATTTCCTTAATTTTTCTGTGCCCTCATTTCCTTATTTATAAAAGTGGAGATACTAATAGTACCTACCTCCTAAGTTGTTACAAGAATTAAAAGAAGTAACAACATGTAAAGCATTTATTACGTACCAGGAGCTATTATAAGTGCCACATGAGTGTATGTTATTAATACCATGTCTTGTTCTGGGTTGCTAAAAACAAAAACAAACTAAAAAAACCCCCAAACTTCCATAGATGGCCTATGTGCCTTTTTCCTCCTACACCTTCCTTTTTAATGCCTTGTCCACTTAAATCAGGAGATGTGGATTTGGATTCCAGCTCTGCCACTTATATGTGCTACCTGACTTGGGAAAGTTATGTAACCAAAGCTTTGGTTTTCTGTTCTGTAAAGCAATGTTACAATGATTAAATAAAATAGTGTACATAAAGTACTTAACATTTACTCCTTGACAAACAAAAAATGATAAACAGTAGATATTATTTATAATCTCCTTATTTTATAATACATTATTCCTGTTTCATACTACATCTAGATTTGATGACCTCTTTAAAAGTTGTTCTTTTACTTTAGCTATGAATCAGAATTTTAAGTGAGGAGAGGAAGGTATAGGTCACGTGGTAGAGCTCATGCTTAGCATACATGCGGTCCTGGGTTCAATCCCCAGTACCACCTCTAAAAATAAAGAAATAAATAAACCTAAATACCTCCCCCCACCAATCAATCAATCAATCAATCACTCTTTCAAAAAATATTTAAAAAAAAAAAGAATTTTAAATGAGCATACTCTTGACCCAGAAATTTTCTACTTTTGAAAATTAATCCCAAGGAAATAATACCTGATGGAGCTAGGACTTAAACACAGGTAGCCTGGCTTCCAGGCTCCTGGTCCTATCTCTGCTGTGCTGCCCAGTTAAATATAGATTTGGGAAGAGAACAATCCTGCCAGTTGATCATTCACAGTATTTACGTTTTGTGTTTAGTTGTTTGTTTGTTCTTAACATTCATTCCTTCCCCTAGTCCTTTTGCTGTCTCCCTAATTTAGGAACTTATCTCATAATTTGAGTTGTGTTAACTCCCTCCCCACCATTAGAATAATCTTAGAACATATTATTGTGATTAAAAAGTTGCAGTAGCTCCTTCAATAGTTTAAAATGTAAATGGCCCTGAATTGAAAGTCATGTAGCTCCAACATACCTTTCCTACCATCTCTTCCACTATTCCTCTTGAACCCTTTACTATTCCAGAAAAACTGCTTTGGCCACCTACCCTGACCATTTCGCAATCAGTCTTCTCCACTCTTCTCACTACCGTTGTAGGAATGTCAGCTTGCATCATTTTAGCCTGGACCATTGTTGATAGCCTCTAAACTTGTGTTCCTGCCTCTGTTCTTGATCATCCTCCTGGCAGTGTTTGTACTCTGCATCCAAACACATTCTTCTAAAATCAGTGTGAATCATTTCAGAACTCTCCTTATTATCCTTCAGTGGCTCCAAATAATCTTCAGCAGTGATTCTCAGTTTGAGTGTGCTTAGGAATCCCTTAGTACTTGTTAAAAATGTAGATTCCAGGCCACATTTTCACTAATTTGATAGATTGGTGCAGAGCCTTGGACTCTGCATTTTAAGAAGCCTTTGTCTAGATCCATGTTTCTTGCCTGCAACTCACAGTAGGAAATAGATTTTATTTCTCTGCTCAAAACACACAGATGTGCACCGATACACATAGATAAAAAATATTCTTACTGTGTGCAATATACTCTCTATTCAATTCCTTTTCATTTGTTTTTTTTTTAAGAAAATGCATGTCTAACCCAGTAAATTAATTTTATAATCAGTGGATCCCAAACTACAGTTCAAAAATCTCTGCCCTAGTTGATTCTAACGCAGGTGATCCATAGACCACACTTTGGGAAACTGATACACTTGATAAATTCAGTTTCTCAAGCATGGCATTCATAGTCCTTCATAATCTGATCCTTGTTTTCCATCCCAGCATCATCTCCAGCTTTCATCCTCTCTGTCAGCTCTCAGTCCCTCCTTCCCCAACAGAGTGCAAACATGCATGCTCTGTTTTTGCCATGTTAGAAGAGCCATATTTTTTATATGTTATTATACTTGCAGTTCCCTTGTGTGAAATGCTTTAATCTACCTGGTGAATTCTTTCTGCTCATCCCTCAGATTGAAGGGTCACTTCTTTAACCTTTCTGTGACCTTCTCTGACAGCAACATATTTTATGTTTTCTCAAAGTGCTGTACATATTTCTAATACAGTTTGCTATACCTTATTTACATGTTTCTCCCTCACTAAATCGTGAGACTCTGAAACGTGGGGACTGTCTTCTATATGCATCTCTGCCACCTAATCCACTGTGTTAGCTCTCTTGAGCTAGTAGGTATTATAATTGGTATAAAAAATTTAATCCCTACTTCCAAAAGAAATAAATTATATTGTTTTTCAGATAAAATGAAATTCTTATTACATATATGCTACTCTTAGGACTAAGGAGTAACATTTCTAAAGATCAATTAGGGAGAATAGTTGTTACCTTGTATGTATCATTTTCATCAAGTGTAAAGGGAAATTTTAAACTAGTTTAAGAAAAAATTAAGAGAATTTGATTGGTCTCATGCTTTCTTTTGCTAGATTTTGCAACTGAGTACCATTTTTCACAGTGCAAAATAAAATGAGGTATTTCATATTATAGAATGATATGTATATATTAAAAAGCCTACAGCAAGCATTACGCTAAGTGTAGGAAACATTTAGAAGCATTCACTTTGAAGTTAGGAATGAGAAAAGGATGTGTATTCTTGCCACTTTTATTCAACACTGTAGTGGAGATTGTAGCCAGTGCACTGAGACCTGATTGAAAATGAGGAGATAAAACTATAATTATTGGAAGCTGTATTTATAGTGAAAATTCAAAAGGATATACAAATTATTAAAATAAGTTTAAAAGTGTGAATGCATGTAACGTACAAAATTAACGTACAAAAGCCAGTTGCTTTTCTATACATCAGCAAATAAAGGAAATATTGTCAAAATATAAAATGCATAGCAACAGATGTAAGAAATGATGATTAAGATTTCTTTAGGGAAAATTATAAAATTTTATTATGTGCTAATAGAGAACACCTAAATAAATGGAGAGGTATATCATGTTCTCTAATATCAATATTATCCTTAAAGATGGGTTTTTCCCCCAGGCTGATACAGTGAAATTCCAGGCTCCCAACAAGATTATCATTAAGTACGATAAGATGTTTCTGAACAGGAAAAGGAGGGTACTTTATAGAAGATGAGAAACTGATCTTATCAGATATTAGGGTTTCCTATGAAGAAGTACTAATGAAGAGGTTAATACCCCAAGTGTTGGGGTAACAATAGACAGATTGGCCAGTGGAGTAAAACTGAGAGCACAGAAACAGACTTGTGAAAATATGAGACTTTTGTATGTAACAGTGGTAGCATGTCAGTTCAAGCGAAAGGGAGGAAATACTTGGTAAGTGAAGCTGGAAAAAATGGTTATTTAAGTTGGTTTCCCTATTTCTTGCCATATTAAAAATAAAATCAGCTTTCAAATGAATCAGAGGCTTTAATGCAAATCAACACTTTAGAAAATTCTTCGTATAGAACACTGGTAAATAGATTTTAGTCCTTGGCACGTAGAAAGACAGGACACAAAATGTTTTCTATAAAACAGTTGATAAATTTGATGATGTTTTAAATTTCAGTTTACTGTATTTTTCAGTTCTAGAATTTTGTTTGGTTCCTTTTCTAATAGTTCCAAGTACTCTACTGAACTCTCAATATTGTCTTCATCTCAAATATATTAAGTATAGATATTTTAAATAATGTGTCTGAAAACTTCTTTATTTGGAACCTTTCTGGTCTGTTTCTTTAGTCTGTTAACAATTTCTTTTCTTTTAAAGAAATTGCTTTGTCTCCTCTATGCCTGCTTATTTAAAATAGAATACCAGTCATCCTATATGAAAAGTTTTTAGTTCTAGGCTGTTACCTCCCTTCAGAAGACTTTCTTTTGGTCGGTGGCTGGTCTCACAGCAATCCCGCATCATCTAGTATCAGTGAATGATTTAGGTTGTCTGAAGCTGGGCTTTCATCACTGTGAGGTCTGCTATCTTTCCATCCAGTTCACCCTCACTCCTAGGGTACAGCTCCTCCAGAGCCCCAGTCAGAGCACCAGGCATTTATCAGATCCTCCATCTTTAGCAGACCCTGAACTCCTTTATTTTTCACCTACAGTCTTTTGAGAGTTCATCTCAATTTCTCATCCTCTTAGCCACCTTTTACAAAATTGGCAGGCTGTATCTGGAAAAACAAGTTCTCTTATTCTGAACTCACCTCTCTGGGTTTCTGTGATATTGTGATTTATAATAAATACATCTTCATTCCCATTCCTCGTTTATTACCCAGTTTATTTTTCTTTTATGTACTATTTTAAAAGATTTTAAATAAACTTTTCTTAAGGCCTCGTTTATATACAGTAGGATCTACCCAGATATATATAACACCACCATACAAAGTAAAGAGTATTTCCACTACCACCACTAACTACTCCTCCAAAATTTCCTTGGCCCACTCCCCAGTCAATTCCCTCTTCCTCCTCTGGCCCTAGTCAACTATTAATTTGCTTTCTGTTGCCATCAATTAATCTTTTCTAGAATTTCATATAAATGGAAGCATATGGTATATATTTTATATTCAGTTCCTTTTTATCACATCATGTTTTTGAAATACATCCGTGTTGGTGTATATATCCATAGTTTGGGTTTTTTTTTTTTTTTAATTCTCTGGCTGCCACAGTTTGTTTATCTATTCACATAGGTTTGTTTTTAAACTTGTCAAAGCACTTTATTAATTTATCTTTTTGTGTATTGATTATTCATCTTTGGAGTTGAGAAACATTAATGTCTTAAACTCTAAATTTACGATGCTATAAAAAAATGATTTTGAAGAGATATACCTCATTGCCTACATAATTGTGCCAGTAGAGTATGCTGCTGTGGTACAGGTGTTTATTTCAAAACATTTGACCTTTTAGTTGCTTTTTGGTTTTTTAGTCTCTTTCAAATGCTAGGCTTAAGAATGCTGATAACGGAATAATTTTTAATGTTGTGATAGCTACTAAGACTGTGAGTGTATTTTAAATAAAAGCAGTCAAAATTACTTTGTCATTTTCATTAGTTATTGCCTGTAAGACTAAGAACTTGGGTTTTAACTGTTTTCAAAATTTGTATTTCAAATTTTAGTGCTTCTTGAAAAATAAAGGTTTTTAAATAATTTAATATGTGTATTTCACACTTTTAAAAAATATGGATATGCTAGTTGTGTGATTGCTACACTTTAGTATTTGTAAAGGCAGTAATGTTTTCCTCTGACACTGGAGTTCTTTTAAAGAGCAATTTAATAAACTGTCATTATATTATAGTCTGTTATAAAGAATGTTTTTAAAATTTTTTTTCCGAACTATAAAATTTTCTTGCTATGGTTTTTGTTTTTTTTTTAACAAACTTAGTTTGCTCATAAAATTTCTTATGGAAACTACCTTGCCTCATCTAGTATCCTTTTGGTATTTAATCCCTAACATATTGATCTAAATTTTAGTAAATATTCCCTTGTATGTCATTTTTATGCAAAATATATGTAAAATTTTCTAATAGAGTTCACTGTTTAAGAGCATAGCCTCTGGATTCAATGGCCTGAGTTTGAATTCCTACTCTACCACTTCTTAGCTGTGTAGCTTTGTACAAGTGATTGCATTTCTTTAAAATCAGTTCCTCATCTGTAAAATGAAGTCATTCTTATAAAGAATTTGGAGATAATTTACAGAGTCCTTAACACATGACTGGGCTAAATACATATATGTTGAATTAATGCATGAATGCCTATTCTCAGCTGTGTATAACCTGCAGCAATTTTTGTAAAAATTTGATTAATGTCAATCTGGGATTCTGCTCTAAATTTCAGATGACTGGGCTAGTTACTTCCTGACCATGGCCATACCTTAAGTATGTTGAATAGTGACTATATGATGAAAAGGATAAAAGGCAGTCTTGAGATTGTGTACCATTCTATTTTTGTTAGTGCAGATGTGGTTGCTACTCAAGGTTATTGGCTATATTGGGCAGGGAGGATGACTTAGCAAGATTTTAGTTCATGTGACTGTTATATATTCTTAAAAAAAAATGTACTGTTCAGTCCCTGAACAACAGCTGCTTGATATTGAAGATTGCGACCTCAATGTGGTGAGATTATGTTTTCAAGTTTTCCTCCCTGATGAACATGGTAATTTGACAACTGCTCTACCTCCTCTGGTCTCTAACCCAATTTATGACAACCGTAAGTAATTTATTTTCTTGTATTTGTAGACTTGACTTTTTAAAAGTGACTTTTTAAATATTTTGTTAATTAAAAGAATTTCTTCATTATAGGAAAAATTCAAACATTACTGAAGTAGATAACAAGGAGAGCAAATCTCCTATAATCTCATCCTCCAAAGATATTTCACCAGTTTCTTCTACACACATGCACACAGATACCACATCATCATCATTATCATCATTCACATAATATATTTTTGGCAAGTTTTTAAAAAAATCACTGATTGTTTAAAACTTCTTTTCCCTTTTAGCGTTGTATCTTGAACCTTTTTCCCTTTCAGGCAGCTTATTCTTTTCAGTAGCTGCATATGTCCTTACATGGCTGTATCATACTTTTATTAAATCATTACCCTATTACAAGATTTTTGGTTTGTTTCCTTCTCAATTTTTTTCTTTTTGCTTCAACAAATTTATACTGCAATAAATATCCTATATGTGCATATCTTGTGCCAATGTCATAAATTTGCAGAAGTAGAAATGTTAGCAAATGCTAGATCAAAGGATATGGATATTTATAGTTTTGAAAGATTATGAAATTGCCCTCAATTATTTGTGTGTGTGTATATATTCCTATATAAGCGCCCACCAGTGGTGTATGATCATACCTGTTGTGCATGTAGAAGGACAGAACACAGGGCTATAAAGGTAGATCAGTAGCCTTATCATGGAGGGCTTTGAATGCCAGGGAGTCACTGGAAATAATATCGACCAGATAAGAGGAAGCATGAAGATTACATTGCCATAGGGTGGTGGTGATTTTAAAAGATTAATCTGATGACAGGTGTAGGACAGATAGGAAGAATCAGAATTCAGAAGCAAAGACATTTAATTAGAGGACATGTCATTGCCTAGAAATGAAATCATAAGGCTCTAGACCAGCTTGAGCAATGCTCTTAAGAAAGGAAAGGGACAGATGTGGATAATTTAAGTATCTAATGTCCTTAATTTATTTATACACTGAAGTTTTTAATCTATGCTGTTAATTGTTTTCCTAAAATTCTATCTATCAAAAAGGAATAAAACATATTACTAAGGTAGCAACTCATTAAAAAAAATCCTTTATGCTTAGGTGCTCCTAATACTGCAGAATTAAGGATTTGTCGTGTGAACAAGAACTGTGGAAGTGTCAGAGGAGGAGATGAAATATTTCTACTCTGTGATAAAGTTCAGAAAGGTATTTTTTTGTTTGTTTTGTTTTTTGTTTCACTGAATTCAGAATATATTTTAGATCAATAGATGTATTTTACTTTGTTTTCCCATTATTGTTTGCTTTCGTATTCACTAGATGACATAGAAGTTCGGTTTGTGTTGAACGATTGGGAAGCAAAAGGTATCTTTTCACAAGCTGATGTACACCGTCAAGTAGCCATTGTTTTCAAGACTCCACCGTATTGCAAAGCAATAACGGAACCTGTAACAGTAAAAATGCAGTTGCGGAGACCTTCTGACCAGGAAGTCAGTGAATCTATGGATTTTAGATATCTGCCGGATGAAAAAGGTATGACTTTTTCGTGGTAATGTATTATATATTTCTTAAAGTTAGTCGTGCTAGCTAATAACATTTTCTTGTAAGATACATTTGCATTACACTTATGTTTATTCATAATTTGCATTTCTTTTCCTGAAAGTTTTTGGTCGATTTTATACTGACTGATCTTTGTGCTCTTTGCATCTCTTTATTAGGAAAGAAATCTGGAATAATTTCAAAGTATCCAAACTGTTTATCAAAATTTGTTTTATATTTGAGATTCATTTTGGTCCTTATTGTATGTACCCTTTTGATAGACAGCAAACTTGCCATTGAGAAAGTGGTCTCCATTTTGGCCCTTTTTGCGTTAATTGACATTGGTGACTTGTAGGTGCTATAAGAAAATGAGTATTATAAACTCTTTTTTACTAAGAGAAAAATATCCTTCATTATTGACTTGGAACACACTTTTCAACACTTATAAATCCATATTACGTACATTTATTTAAAGCATTTTCTATATAGTAATAAAACATCTATATATTTATTAGAGGAGAGGAAGTGTAATCCTGTGATGATTCACATGGTTTCTCGGTTTCTTTCTAACCAGATACATATGGCAATAAAGCAAAGAAGCAAAAAACAAGTCTACTCTTCCAGAAACTGTGGCAGGATTGTGGTAAGAATATTTAGGGTGGATTTGAGATTTAAATAAATTTGGGGTTTTTGTTTTTGTTTATTGGTTTTATTCAGTTTTCCAAATTTTAACTGAGACAGTTGTTTTTCAAATTACATTTAATAATGGAAAAAATTTATCACAGGAGTTACTTTTCCTGAAAGACCTAGACCTAGCCCCCTAGGATCAACTGGAGAAGGAAGATTCATCAAAAAAGGTATTTTATTCCCTATAGAGTATTCCTTGTGATTAGAGAGACCAGTGCTTTGCACATTCTTAGGAGTGAAAACTGCCTCTTTGATATATCCCACTCCTACGTCTTTTTTCATGTTCTGAATATTGGATGAATTGATCTCAGCTTCTGAATGTCCTTTTTGGTAACTATGTATATTTTGGGGGTTTATTGTTTGAGAAATTGCATTTTGTTTATATGCTGGTAATTTTCCTAATTACAGTGTGTCATGAAGAAATGGCTTGTTGCCTATCTTTATTTGTGAAGTTTTACTGGCACACAGCTCATTCGAATGAACTTTGTTTATGGCTGCTTTTTTTTGTATTATAGCAGCAGTTCTAACAGAGGCTATGTGGCCTACAAAGCCAAAAAATGTACTGTCTGACCCTTAGGAAAAAAGTTGCCAATTTCTGATTTAGACCATTCAAGCAGGGTTAATTGGAAGTCCTTTTTTCTTTTTACATTCTTAAGTCAGTGCTTTATCCTGGTTTAATATGTACAGCAGTCATAAAACAGGTCAGTAAATACAGAATCCTTTATTTTTTTCTGACTGGGGATTTTGTAGTACCTTTAAGTTATATCTTAATATAGCTTAGAAAGTTTATGTGGATTTCAGTTATCCCTAACCACTGTTTCCTCCAACCCTTCATTTTCTCCTAAAAGTGGAGAATATAAAATGATTTTGACTGTTTAGAGACCCAGTTACTGAAATTCTGGTATTTGTCACCATTCAGAAACACCTTTATAAGGCCTCAGAAGCTAGATTTTCACATTTAACTGAAATGAAATTATCTATGCCGAAATAACTTACCAAAGTATTTTATAGATGTTTGTAAAAACAGTAAGTATTAATAATTCAGTTTTGGACTCATAATAATTTTAGTGCTATTTAACATTTTTATTTGAAATGTTACGTCAGTTTCCTTGAAACATTTTTATTTAGTGTATTCATGTAATTTTAATTTAGAAATAATGCTTTTTATAATTTTGCTTATTTCAGTTTTGTAAAAATACATTTCCTCCCCCACAGAATCAAACTTGTTTTCTCATGGTGCAGTTCTGACAGAAACATCCAGGCCAGTTTCAAGTCAAGCAGAATCCTACTATTCCTCATCTGTGTCCATCTCAAGTGCATTGTCACATCATGCTTCACCCATACCACCAGTGGTACCTCAGCCTTCTTCAAGCTGGTCATCAGTGGCCCACTCCACCTCACGCTCAGTGAATACAAATTCACTGAGCAGTTTTTCAACAGGGGCACTTTCCTCTAATTCACAAGTTATCTCACCATTCCTGGATATGTCTGTGAGTGATCTGAATGCTTCTAGTACCTGCATTTATAACAATACTAATGACATAGGCAGAATGGAAGCATCATCCGTGTCACCAGCTGACTTATATGGTATTTCTGATGCCAGCATGCTGCCTAATTGCCCTGTGAATATGATACCGCCCAGTAATGACACCATGAGGGAGACTGATAATCCGAGACTTGTGAGCATGAATCTTGAAAACCCTTCCTGTAATTCATTTTTAGACCCAAGAGACTTGAGACAGCTCCATCAGATGTCCTCTTCCAGTATGTCAGCAGTCGCCAGTTCCAGTACTACTGCTTTTGTCGCACAATCAGAGGCATTTGAGGGATCTGACTTTACTTGTGCAGATAACAGTATGATAAATGAGTCAGGACCATCAAACGGTACTAATCCAAACAGTCATAGTTTTGTTCAAAATAGTCAGTATTCAGGTATTGGCACTATGCAAAATGAGCAACTGAGTGACTCATTTGCACTTGGATTTTTTCCAAGGTAACTTGTAATGTTTAAATTGTGAGCAAGAATTAAGTCTAAGGTTTGCAACCATTTTGATATTCCGTATATAGATTCTGTGTTCGATATTTCTCTGAAACTATAACACAAGGATCAACTGTAATTATAACTTTAGGTATGTAGGGGATTCCTCTAAGTCTTGGCTTGGGAGCTTCTCATTTTGCTGGCAGAATTTGTTGGGATATAATGAAAGATGAATGCTCAGTGCTTAAAGCTGCAGCTGAAAGAGGGATGAACTCATTCCCCAACTTCACGAAGAGCTAGGAAAAGTCCAGCACTTACAGATGACTTATGCTTTAAAAGTAGATAATCCACACAGACTGAACTTCTAGGCTATGATGCATTGTGAAATCCTACATGCAAAGAATGTTTATTTAAACTAGTACATATTTCAGCCCAGGTTAAATTATGTGACCATAGAAAGTGTATGATGAATCTGTGACATGTTAAATATTGAATAAAATCAGTTTCTCCATTAAAAAAAAACAATTTTGAGTATGTAGAATACAAGTTGGAAACTGTCATAAAAGAAAAATTCTCAAATAGTCATTTAAAAGGGCTTTAGTATGGGGGAGGGTATAGCTCACTGGTAGAGTGCATGCTTAGCATGCACGAGGTCCTGAGTTCAATCCCCAGTACCTCCATTAAAATAAATAGATAAATAAATAAACCTAACCCCCCCAGAAAAAAAACCTAAAAATAAATAAATAAATAAAAGTTTTACTGTTTCTTCTTTTGAAACACGTGACCTGACACTGTGTGTGGTGGGAATTCTGTCTTGAGAGTCCTGCCGCATTTTCCCAGGACAGACTTAGGAGAACATTAAAGCAAGGCTCCAGGTTCTGCAGATACACTTTTAAGAAAAAATTTTTTTAGTTCTTTTTTATTGAAGTGTAGTCGATTCACAATGTTAGTCTGAGGTGCAGCAAAACAATTCAGTTGTACATATACATAGATTTTTTTTTCAGATTATTTTCCATTACACCTTATTACAAGAAACTGAATATAATTCCCTATGCTATACAGTAGGTCCTTGTTGTTTATCTACTTTATATATATAGTAATGTGTACCAGATACACTTTTTTATACTTCTTTTATAATGTATTTTTAATTAAATGAATTAACTGATATTTGCTTTTAAGCAAATTTAAGGTAAAACCTGTAATGGCTATGCCATTGGAAAAATTAATTTCTTCTTATTTTTGAGGCCCCTGGGCCAAGGTGACCCCTAAGGGGTTTTCTGAGGCTTCTCGGAGTTTCTTAGATTTATATGTAAATCAAAATTTCTTTTAAATGCTAAGCTGGGCAGAAGGCAGTTGAAGTAAGCTTTCAAGGTGATGGAAGGTTCTCTACATTTTGGACTATTTAAATCCATACCTTTTAAAATTGCTTATGATTTTAGCTCTACACTCATATTTTTAAGGGGAAGAAGTTTTCTCTCTTACGTGTCCACACTCACTGTGATCTCATCCAATTTCATGCTGTCAACTCCCACATTTTACCCCTAGCTTAGACCCATCCCCCGAACTCGAGTTGGGGCATATGCCTGTGTGTAAAACTGCCTATTTGATATCTCCATGTGGAAATCTAATTAAAGCTCAACTCAACATATCCAGAGCCAAGTTCTTGATCTTCCCTCCCAAACTTGCTTACTCCTCAGTCTTCCTCAGGTGATTAAATGGCAATGCCATGTTTCCAGTTGCTCAGGCCCAAAACAATGGAGTCATCTTTTATTCTTCTATCTTGCATATCCAGTCCATCAGGAAATCCGCTTGGCCCTACCTTCAAAATGTGTCCAAAGCCGACCACCTCTTTTGACCTCTACTGTTAACATCCTGTTCCAGGCCACCATCATCTCTTGCCTAGATCGAAGCTATAGTTTCCAAAACTCTCTTTACATCCTTGCAATCCTACAATCTGTTCTGCCTGAAGTAGCCAGAGTGATTTTTTTTAAAACACGTCAGAATCATAGTCATCTGCTCAAAACCATCCAGTGGCTCTCTAAGACCAAAATCCTCAAAATTAGCAGGCCTGCACTCCCTCTCCTGCTCTCCTCCACTACCGTTTCTCCCATCTCATTCAGCTCTGGGCACTCTCTGGTCTGTGTTCATCCACAAAAGCACTGCAGACACTCCTGCCTTAGACCCTTTGTACTTGGTGTTCCCTCTGCCTTAAATGTCTACCCTCAGATACATGCATAGCTCCCTCCCTAGTCCTTCAGTCTCACTCAGCTGTCATTTGATCAAGGCCTTTCTTGACTATGTATACATTGGCAGTCCATGCCCCCCCTCCTTTAAATTTGTCCACAGCACTTATCAAGATCTGACTCTGCTAAGCATTTGTTTCTGTTTGTTTTCCTATATTGGAATATAAGCTCCGTGAGGGCAAAATTTTGTGTTTTGCTTGTTGAATCCTACATTTGTAGAACAGTGTCTGCCTCGTATTAAGCACTCAGTAAATATTTATTGAATGTTCAAAGAACTACTAATAGAACCTTAGTTTTTGAAAGAGAGAATAGCTTTATTAGAATGTTTATGATTTTTATAGTTGTGTTTAATGTGACATTGGGTTTACTGTATCAGAATCATGTACATTTAGGTAGAGGATTAATAATGAAGACCCAAATTGTTTGAAAGCAGAGTAATTCCAGTGGCAAAATGATTGTAGCATTTGGGCAATAATCTTAATTGTGATGGAATTATCATGACGCTAAGTAACTTATTAAAGACCTAGTTTATTTTACAACTAGAACCTACTATAAATGTTGAGTATATTCTTAGCTAGAAAAAAATTCACTTATATAGTATCCAACCAAACCATAAATTTACTGGGGCAAATAAAACTAGCCAGTTTGGTCAAAATGGGCAATATGTGCATGCCATTAAAATTCTGAGTTGAATGAAACTGGGAAATGAGAAGGAGAGCAAGACAAGACTTGGGATCAGGACAGTTTGAGAAGCAAAAGACGATTAAAGGACCTAAGTATCATTAATATTTCTCAGAAATTATGATTTCAAAATGAAACATTTCTGTTAAATAACTTTAAAAATCATAAGCATATAACATACTTTAGTAAAACTTACCAGGAATTAAGAAACCTGAAGGCATAGTTTCTTGTTCAAAATATGAACCCAGAATAGCTCCAGATAGTGGCTTATAGATGGAGAACCTTTTTTAAAATACAAAATCCTATGATTTTGTATTAATTAGCACTTATCAGCTTTAACACTGACTATTAGGATATCTAAATGAATGGATTTTTTTAAATTAAACAATTGACTTGTTTTGCAGGGTGTAAGCTGAATTAAGTTCCTGTTACATTTGTGTTCAGAGTATATTGATTTGTTTTGCAGGGTTTTTTCTGTGTAAGCTGAATTAAGTTCCTGTTACATTTGTGTTCAGAGTATATCAAATGGATTTTTCATTTTTCAGGTGCTATTTATGGATCATAGATTTTATAATTTTAAAAAATTGACAACCTGCTTCTTCTCTTTCTTTAAGTGTATTTACACTTTCGGCTGCTCTCACAATACCACTTTCAGCTTTGAGGAAAAGATGACCTCTACTTTTAAGCTCTACTTGTACACTGGGTCCCTCCTTCTTTCTCCCCATCTTGTTTCTGTACCCTCCTGTCACCATTTAGTGCTTTTCTGTGTATACACATGGTAGACGTTTTCTCTAGCCTAAAAAAGGTGAACACCTTTCCTACCATCCTCATGCTGCTTCCCATCACATTCAGACGTTTGAAATGCTTTCAGCCTCCATTTCCTCACTTCCCAGTCATTCTTTAGCCCATCAGTCTTTCACTTTTATCTCCTACCATTTTCATATAATATTCTGGGAAGAGTGACCAGAGACACCTCTCTTGTCAAATCTAGTGTCTTTTTTTTTTTTATCAGTCCTCACCCTGCTCGACCTACCCATCCTCTTGACATCCTTGGATGCTCCTCCAAAGTTTCTGTGGTAGACAGGATTCCCGTCTGAGGTTGATTTTCTTTCCAGAGTCTCAGCCCCCATCCTCAGTTGGTGCTGTTTCCCCCTGGGTGACCTCGTCAGTGCTCAGAAAGCTTCACCTTTCTCTCACGGTACCTGAATGCCTTTACTCCTGTTGCAAGTCTCTACTATCATTAATGGCATTACTATTTACCCTGCCGTCCAAGCAAGATATTTAATAGGAATCTCAAAATCATACTTTATTTCTTTTCTCCTTCACACTCCCTCAAGAGTTACCAAATCCTTTTGGGTCTGCCTCCTAAAAATCTCTTGCATTTGTCCTTCCTTCATTCCTGCTGCTTTCTTAGTGTAGGCCTTCATTTTTTCCCCAACAAGAATCTTTTCTCTATTGCTCCAGTTAAAAATACTCCATTCCTCGCTATACCATACCATATAGATAGCATCCCTTGAAAAAACTTTCAGGCCACTAGGCCTCCATGCCTTTTACATATTATCCACTCTGCCTCTGCTCTTTACAACCACAACAGATGGTCTTTAAGACAAGGCTTCTCCTCTGAAGTTTGGTCATGCCTCCCTAGCTGAGTACAGCTTTCTTCATGCCCCTATTGCAGAACTCCTCACTGAAAAATGCAGTTATTTAAAGTCTGTCTTATTCACCTTTGGGACTCCATCACTTAGCACAATCCCTGTCATAGTTGGTGCTGAGTAAATAGCAGCATTATTAGAGAGGGAAGGGTGAAATTGACATAGGAGTCATTATAGAAAATGTGGACAAGGATATGGTTTTCAAAGGGAAAAGCAGTGATGCCGGGATTACCAGACTCGTGAAATACTTTTCTCTCTCTCTCCTGTAGTGTCGGCTGTATTTGGTAGAAATTTTATAGTTACTAAGACTGTTTCATAATCTCTGACCTTGCTGCTTCTCTCTCTGTTGTATCTGTCAGGTTTAATCTTAATTCTCCTTGTTGTATTTTCTTAGCACCTTACCCTGGCACAGAAACACCAGTATTTATGTAATCAGTCACCTATCACATTTTTGAATATCTAATGTGCAAAGCACCATATCAGGTGCTAGAAATGACACAGGTGAATGAGACCAGTCTTACTCTCAAAGATATCAGTCTTTTTCTTTTGAGGGATAACCTATACAGTAAAGTGGACTAATTTTAAGTGCACAGCTTGATGAATTTTTACATATGTAAATAATCATATCTGGCTCCCCAGAAGTTTCCTTCATATCCCTCCCCAATCTACTTTCTCCTCAAAATCACTATTCTGATTTCTGTCACCAGAACCCACTGTCTTAATGGCATTTTACATTGGTAACTGGGGTTCCCTACTCAAAACCTTAGTGAACAAAAACAGCTGGGTTGTCAATTTCTAACTTAATACTTCAGAAAAACTAATTATACTGCCCATGTTAGGAGAGACTTGGAATTGATGATGCAGGCTGCCTAATAGCACCAAATAATTTGTTGTATTATATCATAAATTGATTTATTGAGGGATGAAAAATAACTTTGTGATGTTAAATAGCATAAAGAAATGGAAAGAATAAGTAATTTTTAATCAAAACATCTGGGTTTGCATCTTCAGCTCTGCCACTTAGAAGTTATGTAATATTTAGCACTTTACTGTGGGCCTCTCCCAAATATAAAATGCATATAATTTCCAGCCTACTTATCTCACAAAGTGTATTGTATTAAATAAAATAATGCATAAGAAGCAATGCTGTAAAATATACAGTGCTAATCAAACATTGTTAATAAACCGACATCTGCATAGATCCTGTGGCCTTGATTAATCTCTAATCCAAACATTTCTTCCAGTTTGCAGAGTGACAGAAATCACTATGGATTCAACTCTTTAGTAACAACCCCGAGATGAGATTCTCTTTAGAGTGGCTAGCTGGAAGGCCTTCATTTGGCCTTATTCTTTCCAGACCATTTCCTATTATATAGTGAAGATAAAATCAGTAACTTCCAATTCTGAAATTCTATGATTCTTAATTT